TTTATTTATTGTCATTAGCATATCTGTCTTCATTTAGAGAATATAATCAAATTTAGTGTTTCTTTGGTTGCTGTGTTTAGTTTATAGTATTTAAAGAGTGTAATTCAGTGTACTCTCAATTCTGATTTATTTTGTGTTTGAACTTTGCATTAAGTGTAGTTTTGATTTATTTATTTWTTTAAGTTGGACGCTGTTTGTAGCTAATGTGATAGCAATTTGCACATGACTCGTGGAGAGAATTTTGCTGAGGAGTCCACCAGACTAAACAACTTCCTGATATGTCCTTGATGGTAAGACGTTTAAGATTTTCAAGCTGCTGGACACGTGGAGATGAATGCCGGGAATGTATAACTGATATATTTGGATCACATATKTTCACTGGATGAAAAGCACACATTGTAAGCCTTTGAAGGAATTTATTTGTCAGGTTAGATACTGATTTTAAAAGCATCACACCATTTTCTTAGTTTTCCTTATTAATTCTTATAATCTATTGTTTGACTATTGTTATGTCTTGATTCAAATAGGTTTAGATACATGCCTGAAACCCCATCACAACACATAGAAAAACCATTAATCAAACATGACGACAGGATGTCTGTACGAGTGTCTGCGATTCAGCCGTAGGCCTGGAGTGGGCGTACCAGGCACTGAAGACCATGTATTTATAGACCGGGACTTCCGGTTTTCCAGCAGCGTTGGTTTCATGCCTGCATTGAGAGCATTAAATYACCRTTCACTCCAGTCACTGGTGATGTATGGTCCTTCTCTTCACATTTTAATCAACATTCATGTGGTTTCGTCACGATGTCAGTTAATGAACACAAATTAATATTCTTACACCTTAACACATTATTTTGGTTTTGRTCCACCATACTTTAGTCTAAGCACCCTTTTATAGACATTTGTCATCTAATGATGAGGATATAACACGTCATCGCTGATCTGGTTTACACCCAACTGGTTTTTGAGGCGTTTTATTTTTATCTTTTGTGGCAGAAAGAGGTGTCAGAYGATGGAAACTCAGCAACCTTTTACATGCGCAAAAAGATACAAGGCTATAAAGTATATTGAAAAACGTTTAAATTATTTTCTACTGCCATCTTCTTAAAGACGTTATCTACAGAGGTACAAGAGAGACATCTGAGAACCAAACCAGTCCCCATGAAAGATCCAAATGTGAAAGTTGGAGATTTTTGCCCCATTAATAGATCATCGTTTGATTTTTACAAGTCACCACAATAACCCCAAAATATTCCGTCTCCCTACCAGCTAATCAGTCTCTCCCTTCAGTCCTCTTCTTTCTGTCATCACCTCTGTAATTGGGATTTATGGGATGTCCCCTACAAGTCTTCGTGAAAACCTCCTCCCCTCGCATGCCCAAATTGTTTTCTTTCTTTCTCTTCCTCCCTGTCTGGCGAGCGCCCMTCGTGGTAGTGATACATGAAGGCTAACAGGTGGCACGCTGCAAACAACAGTTGAAATGCGTCGCACCGCTCACCATGCCCTCGCATCAACACTCTCCTTCCACTCGCTCCAGAGCTCTGATTTACTGCGTTTGCTGCTGATGACTAATCAAGACGAGAATAATCGCGCTGTAAATTCAACAGCTCTCCAGGGGGGAATCATTCAGAGTATTTCTCAGGATCGGGCAGGCGATTCTTGAGTTGGAGACAGATTTTTCTGCCACCAGCAAATTATTATTTTTCTTTCTTCTTTTTTTTTTTTTTGCTTTGCATTAACATATTTTGGCGTCCACTCAGACTTCTGCTGTAACGCACTCATTGTTTATAGAGTCTGAGCACTTGTGTAGCTACGCATCATTAACCTTCGCCTCACTGAGACGAAGAGCTGTTTGATACGTTTTACACATTTATGCACGGCTAGATGATGTCATTTAGACGTGAAAACAACTGTGTTTCGATGTGTTTGTGTAAGAAATAAGTTCTATAGTTATTTTTACTTTGTGTGTCTGTGTGTGTGTGTGTGTGTGGGTTCCTTTTTTGGCTCCACCTGTCAGAAGATATGTTCACTTCCAACAACGTGTTACAGTGAAAGTATTGCTGTGTCAAACGACCCTCTCACGCTTGCAGCACTGTTTAAAAATGTGGTTAAATTTGTCAAAATCAGCAGTGCTTTTGTTTTCGTTTCACGTATTCTTCTTTGTCAGAACTTGCTGTCTACGTTACAGATGATACAGCTCAGCTTTTAAACGTTTTTAGCTCTGGTTCAGGTATTTAAGGTTAATGCAGAGGTTTTGATTGTTTGAAGTGCAGACTGAGTTTCTTTTCATATTCCACCTCCAGATTTGGTTTGTTTTTGTCAAATTTTCAAATCCGCACTTACATTTAATTATGAGAGGTGCACGGATAAATCGGCCAGCYGRTTTCCTTAATTTTGGGAGATCGGAGATCGGCCGATGCTTAGAWAAGATGGGTGGAAAAGATCGGCTTCTCGACCTCCACAAAGGTCTGAAAATCAGCCACTGTCCCCTTTTGCTCTGCTGTGAGCTCTAACTAATGTCCAGTTAAAATAAATTTGTATWGTTTCAAGAATATTATTCAGAGTATTTCAGTAAGATAACATTGAAGTTGTGATCTTATAACACCTGACTTGTCAGCTATTTAAAGGGATCCCTGATTAGTTGTAACATTAGACTTTAATTGATAAACATTTATTTTAACTGTAAAATAAAGACTAAAAATACTGTAGGCTGTTTAGTTTTGTAAATTTTTAAAAATTTATTTTAACACGGACGGAGCCATTTTATTTACACACAAAGCATTCTGGGTAAATGATGACGTGGATAGGTCCTCGTTGTGAGGCTGCTAGCGAGCTATATCCACCCTGAAGGTTAATCTTGGACAATATCTGATGATCGACTCTTTTAAATGAAACCAGAGAGC